AATATATAATTGGCCACCACACGCTTTGGAGTTTGTTGTAAGGTGCGTATTAGATTTTTCACATACCTCGGACTCCAATAGACCTTGAAGTCGGGTAAGACGCCCAACGACTCCAAGACCAATTTTTCAACATTTAAATGGGGATAGACGTTGTGTTGTATTTCTTCAATGGTGTTGAGGGTATAGAGGTCGGCAAGTTTATTGACTTTCTTGGAGTCCGCCATACCCGCCGCCAAATTGGTTTCAAATTGTGCCATCTCAGTGGCCACTTGCAGACCCACGTTCTTATCAAGACCCAGGAAAATATATAACTTATTGGCAATGCTGTTGATGTAGTTCTTAACAAACCCAGCATTGGCAGGATTCATGTAGATATCCCTCGATTCCAGGGCCAATTGTTGTTCACTTAAATAGATACGATTTTTGGTGTTATCGGCAAAGTCCACACTTATCTCAGCCCCGGTAACGGTAACAATTCCATATTTGTAGGCTATAGCCGCCACAGTAGTTTGCCAATCGAATTTACGTTCATCCCACAACGGACCCGCCATGGCAGGCATTTGACCAAATTCCGCCATAATTTCCAATAATTTCGCCGTATAGACATGTTTCAAATTCGGCAAATTCATGCATGATCGATAGAAATTTTTTATCTTCTTATCGACGTTGGTATCACGCGGCTCGTCGGTGTTCATAAGTAGCAGTATCTTGTGATCTCTCTCCTCGCGTAGACTGTGAAACAGGCCCGTGGCCGATTTCTTTTTCGCCGCTGCCGAATTATAGGTATTCCAATTGCCACAGGCAAATTCATAGAAATCATCACAGGGATTCACCTTTAGATTCATGTAACGAAACATTTCCTGACCTTTGTTGAGACGATTTTGTTCAGACAATGGATTGGGCACACCTAAGATTCCTCGGACCACATTTACCAGGATGTAAAAAAATAAACCCCAACACAAAAGATTAAAGCTAAACATGTTGGAGGTAGGTAACACCTTCTTGAAACTTTCCCAAACGAATGTGGTTTTCCACCCGAATTCAGGTGATGTTATATAAGGGACTGGCTTCCCGTATTGAATATTGTCCGAACAATTAATTTCGATTTTTCTTTAGCAATGAATAAAATCAAAGATTAATTTCATAAGCCCGAAAAAAAGCAATGAGAAACTGGAAAAATGTTTTTGAATTTTTTATTATCGGCATAAACAAAGGACTTTGACCGCGTTTTAAATGGCAATTTAAATTCGGGCTTCTTTTGAGAAAATGCATATCCACTTCGAATGATTCATATAAGCCATCTCTCACTGAATTGATCTCTTCTCATTAAACTCTTTTGTGTCTTATTTTCCTCCAAAAAATGGAGTCTCCATGTGCTGATCCCTAAAATTGTTTAAACTTTCATGGTCATGACTCAAATTTGTCAAATGTGTCGTTGTTGCCATTTTCCTGAAAACAAAACTTGTTCTCACGAAAAGACACACTCCGCACATTCAATGAACTGTTCGCAAAAAAGTTCATTGGATCTTCAAAATTATAACAACAAAATTTTTTGTTACTGAACTCTTTCTTATTGTTATGACATTGTTTTTTTTTTATTTGTTACAGTTCATTGAATTCACTGTTTGAATAATAATTATTTTTTTGTGTACATAAAATTATTGCGAAATATCGATCAGTGATGAAAAGAAGTTCAAATTATTTTCAGCGATCAATTAAACTGTTTTGTTGAGGGAGTGTGGGAGAGAGGGAGGGAGCGAGAGAGCACGATGAAGAGCAATAGCCTTAAATGTAAACAGATGTAAAATTTGAATTAAAGGAGAATGACTTATGGTCGTTGGATCGGCAGGAATGTTAAGAATTTGAAAAGAGGATTTTTTCAGGATTATTCAATTCAATTCAGGAAGTTGATAACAAAAATATAAAATAAAAACGTAATTAAGTTCGCAGCACGTGCTGTGCATTCAAAATACCTTACCTTTATATGGGGACTATGTTATTGCATTATGTGGTAGTAGGTTGTTCATGTTCTGAAAAAATAATCTTCTGAATTACGGACACTCACTTAGAAAACTGGGCTAGAAACTTCAAAATATCAAAATTTAAACGAGAGATTTGTATGGAAACTATTTTAAAAATTAATTGAAAAATTCCTAAAAAGGGGTTTTTATTCACCAGGAATCCGATAAGCCAGATTATTGCCTCTTCGATGAGAAAATTAGGCCAAAAATATAATATCCAATATCCCGGATGCCAATTTACAATTACCACAATGGGAAAATGCAATTAAAATCTTCAAAATACTGATCAATAATACTTAATTGCAAACCGCTTAATTGAAAATTAAAATAATATTCATTCAGTTTTGCCAACGTTAGTCCTACGTGGTGACAAATTTTCGGAACATTGGCTGATATGCTCAATAAGAATCCCGTGTATTAAGATAAAACAAATTTTGTCGAAAAGCGTGCCACAGAATTTCAATTGAACGGTACCTAGAGATGGGCCGTGGATAAATACCCAACCGGTAAATACCCGGTAAATTGGGTAAATGCCCAATTGTGGGTATTTACCATATTGAATCGGTAATACAACATCTAACACCCTATTTTCTGGTTTCTGTTATCAACTCGATTTAGAATGGATAGTTTTACGATACTTTAAAGACGTGGGTAAATACCCGAGTATTTACCCAAAAATTGGGTATAAACTCATTAACTGCCGAACCACTTGACATAGGCGCTTACGTGCTTTTAATGTCAAAGCAAATATTGAAATGCAAAATGGGGTCCCTGGGTCCAAGTTTTGATATAGCTCCCATATAACCGTATTCTCGATTTAAAGTATTTTTTGTCTAGTAGACAAATTTTACGACCAAATTGGCTGTAATTAGGCACAGAGTGTTTTATTTGGGTACCAAATGTCCATGCAAAAATATATATATGTAGGTCCACGGTTACTAGTAGCCACCATACAAAGGTACCCCTATTTTGAGTATTTACCCAAAAATTGGGTATAAACACATTAACTGCGGAAACACTTGACATAGGCGGCCCCATATAACCGTATCTCCCGATTTAATTTATTTTTTGTCTATTAGACACATTTTACAACCAAATTGGCTGTAATTTGGCACAGAGTGTTCTTTTTGGGTACCAAATGTTCATGCACAAATTTATGTAAGCAGGTCCACGTTTACTGGACCTGAGTCTAGAATTTATTAGAAATTTCGTTGAAATCGGTTCGTATTTAGATATAGCTCCCATAATATGTTCGTCCGAATCTTCCAAGGTTTGTCCGATTGAGACGGACATGACCGTGATGTGTTAGATCGCACCTAACACATCAAACTCGACGTCGAAAAGCTGCAAACACAACAGATAGCAGAATCCTACTCTGCTCAACTTACCCACCTGCTTGACGAAAGCACTTCTTGTCCCGATGGCATAGAATTGCCTATTCCCTACATACTGCAGCAAAAGCAACACTTGGATATCAAAAACCACCATCAAGAAACCCATGGTACGATCCAGAGTGTCGTAATGCTAATGATCTGAAAAACGCAGTGTGTAGGGCAACCCTGCAGACAGGAGTAACACATAACGCGATGGAGAACTGTCGGGGGAAAGGAGAGAGGATAAACTTATTTTCTAAAAAAAGAAGAAACAACAAGGAACACGTGAGAATCCAAGAAATTTTACCAACGACTAACGCACCAAACCGGAGGCTTTGGTGCAGGCACATCATACTGTAGCGATGAAGAAGGAAACCTGGTGACAGACACATATAGCGTGTTGAGGAACTGGAAGGAGCATTTTGAAAAGCTTCTGGTATCAAAAAGTGACGGTGAAGAAGATACCCCAGAACCAATAAGTGATGACGCTGATCAGGAGCATGCACCAGCTGATTAGTACAATTTGGCTATAGGAATGTATAGCCAATGATTGCAACCTCAGCATCGTGTCTCCCGTGCACAAAGAAGGAGACAAGACGATTGTGCCAATTATCGAGAAATTAGTCTCCTTCCCATTGCATATAAAGTGCTATCCAGCGTACTGTGCGAACGGCTGAAGCCAATGGTCAATGACATTATTGGACCATACCAAGGCGGCTTCAGACCTGGCAAATCCACCATATACGTTCGGCATTCCTGCAAAATGTATACGGCTATGCAGGATAACTTTAACTGGGACAAGGTCAGCAGATAAAGTCGGAAAGGACCTATCAGAGTCCTTTAATACAGAACGAGGGTTCAGCTTCCGGCTGGAAAGGGTTGTAGTTTCGAACTTTAATGAATTATAAATTGAAATGGAAAAGATTGGGACTGAATGGGTTAAGAAAATTACGTTGATAAATCCTTTTATCTGATATTAAATTCCGATTTCAACGATAACAAAACCATTTAACCGTTATATCTGTAAATTGAAGAGGGGAATGTATTTCAAATGAATTATTTCAAATTTGAATGCAGGCTCTTTGTGGTCAATAATTCATTATCAGCCTGTTTTTGTAAAATTCCAAACGAACGAATTCGAGTGACTTACGACCAAACTCCTTGGTTTTGAAAAATATGTCATTTATTTTTGTTTTGAATCAGAAAACTATTATAAACATAAATAAAGGTTTGGTCGTAAGTCACTCGAATTCGTTCGTTTGGAATTTTACAAAAACAGGTTGTATATTTCAGGTCATTGTAATGTAGAATTCAGAATTTGCATACAAAATGTATTTTTACTTTGTTTCAAAAAAAAAAAAAAAAAAAACGGATTGAAATGCAAATTAGAGAGTTTTGACGAAATGTACATTAATAACCCAAAACAATTGTATTTTTCGGTGATGATGCAGTTTTTTGTCAAATGAAAAGGAAAAGTTGTTAAATTAAATTTGAAAATGTAATTTCAAATCAGTTGAGAAAATATCATTGAAAAATACGGTCAGGATTTTCTCGGAGGGACAAAAAAATGTGCAATTTAAAACGGGGAGTTGTAATATTGGCGATAATGATTTATCCCATGGCAGTGCTACCGGCCAGTTTAGAAGCAATTTCCGGCATTGCCAGCCGTTTACAAAAGGGTGCCGAAATGTTGAAATATATGAATATGTCAGTGGATCCATGTGAGGATTTCTACGAATTTACTTGTGGCAATTGGAATCGTTATCATTCGGCAGCAAAGGGTGATGCCACTTCGACGGGATTACTGGAGAATTTACAAAAATCCTTAAGTGAAAAATTAATGGAGATTTTGGTAACCCCAGAACAAGTAGATACCCTGGTGGATCGTAAGGTCAAAGATTTCTATAGATCATGTTTAAATTTGGCGGCATTGAAAAATAATTATGCTTTGAAATTACGGGAATTAATTGCGGAATTTGGTGAAATGCCAGCCCTGGCGGGCCCAGCATGGCTTGGTGGATACCCGGGTAAATCGTTTATATCTGCGAACTGCAGATTTATCCCTGGGCAATCAACATGTCTATTTGGATAAGAGCAGTTCCCAGCTGTTGCAAGGTATTACAATTGTGGTCTATTCCCGTCTCATCGATTTCCTCGGCATGGAAGTGGAATTGGCCAAACGAACAGCAAAAGAAATAATTGATTTTGAAATAGCCCTGGCTAGGGGTATTGAGGATGTCAACACTGCCACGGATTATAGAGATGTTATTGCCTTGGATACCATCGATTCCTTGCAGCAGAAATATGCAGGATATTTGGATTTGAAGAAATTGCTGTATCTCTCCTTTGGCAGTCTACCCAATCTGAAGGTGTATTCAAATCCCAAATATCTAAAACATCTAATCGATTTAATGCATGTGACACCTCGACGAGTTGTGGCGAATTATATTTTCTATAATTTGATTAGGAAATTCCTGGTAGAAGTACCCAAGACACAGCAGAAATTACAAGAGAATTGTTTGAAGGGAATGAAACCACGATTCTTTAAAATATTCGATAACATGATTTATCGACGTTTTATGTCGCGGGAAATTGAGCAAGGTATCCATAGTATGTGGGAGGAAATAAAACACACATTTAAACAAAATTTGGCATCATCGAAATATCATTGGATCGATGGCCAGATACGCCGCTATGCCATTGAAAAAGTCAATGCCATGAAAATGGATATTGTCTCGTACAAGGATTATGATTTT